GGCGACTCGCGCTGGGACGGACCCGGAGACTCCAGTGCGGTGAGCGACCCCCGACCCACCCCGTCACCGGGGCGGGCCAGCAGGGAGTGGAAGGAGCCCGAGGCAGGCCCCTTTTGGCGCCCGTGGGCGGATGAGTTGAGGGCTGCCGCCCCGTCCGCTGTGGAGGGCGACGTCTCGGTGCCAAGCTCCACTTAGGGCCTCGGGCTGGGACCCGGTGGTGAGGGAGGGCCCGGGCCCCCCACTCCCCCGCCCCCCCTGCAACCCTCAAGAACTGGAGGCTGGGTGAACTGCACCAGCCGCAGAACCTTCTAAGAGCCGGGACCCCAACCCCTTTTTCCCTGGACACGCCACGACCAAACCCCCCCTCTCCGGCCGGAGGAGGGGGCCTGAACTCGGGGTTCGCCGAGCCCTCTCGGCCACCTCTGGTCGCCGGGCCCCCCACTCCCCCGCCCCCCCTGCAACCCTCAAGAACTGGAGGCTGGGTGAACTGCACCAGCCGCAGAACCTTCTAAGAGCCGGGACCCCAACCCCTTTTTCCCTGGACACGCCACGACCAAACCCCCCCTCTCCGGCCGGAGGAGGGGGCCTGAACTCGGGGTTCGCCGAGCCCTCTCGGCCACCTCTGGTCGGGAGGTGATCGCACCCCCCCGCAATAGACCCTGCCAACAAACCCTGGGGTTAGAGACAAGGAGAGTGACAAAGGCGGTGGGTCCGCGGAGCCCCGCCCCTGGCTCTGTTCGAAGCCAAGAAGAGGGGGCGCGAGGCGCTCGCACCCGTAAGCCCGCCACAGTGTCCACAGAGCAAGCCCGTTATTTCAAAATAAATTCTAAATAATGGGCTTCTTACTCTGACTCCTGTAAGCCTCATTTCATGCGCTGTAGGGGAAGTCGGGGGAAGAGTGCTCTGTTTCAAAATAACTGCTGTACAGACAGCGCAAAAAGTCGAAATAAGCTATTGACGTAGCTCAAGTTGCGTAGCTTATTTCGAGTTTAGCCCTGCTGCGTAGACATGTAGACAAAGCGGGCACTGTTATTTGTGGGTGGGAAACTGTGTTCAGAACCAGAGGACACACCCCAAAACCAGAGCTTGATGCTAATGCAGTACTCTGTGGCTACGTCTAGACTACATCCCTTTTTTGGAAAAGGGATGTAAATTAGACGTATAGCAATTGCTAATGAAGCGGGGATTTAAATCTCCCACGCTTCATTAGCATAAAAATGGCTGCCAGTTTTTTCAGCACAGAGCTTTGTCGGAGAAAAGCACCAGTCTAGACGCTGATCTTTCGAAAAATAAAGCCTTTTCTGAAAGATCCCTTATCCCTCTTGAAATAAGGGATAAGTGATATTTTGGAAAAGGCTTTATTTTTTGAAAGATCAGTGTCTAGACTGGCGCTTTTCTCCGACAAAGGTCTGTGCCGAAAAAAAAGCGGCAGCCATTTTTATGCTAATGAAGCGTGGTAGATTTAAATCCCCGTTTCATTAGCAATTGCTATACATCTAATTTACATCCCTTTTCCGAAAAAGGGATGTAGTCTAGACGTAGCCTGTATGTTTAAATTATCACTAAGATGTATGTGTTTATGCACCATGTATAACAGCTGGGGAAGACTATAACTGCATGTCATGTGGGATTTTCCAGTCCCTGTCACAGCAGCCACACTTTAATTTTATTACTATAATCAGGCTGATACATTTTGGGATAACTGGGTCACTTTTTTTTTCCATTCAGGAAGCAATTTTTGCAAACCTTTTTCTAGAATGAGATGGGTAAACAAGTTCCTTTTTTTATCTGAACCAATTATAATTTGTAGCTATTTCTCCATGAGTGCTGTCTGATACTCGCATGCACAAATGTTACAAGTCCAGCGAACTGATAATTTAAAGAGTAGTAAACCAATATTATACAGTGGGTGACACAGACAAGGTCTCTGGTATATTTATTTGAAACAGCCATATGTGAAATGCAGGCCACGTGACACAGAGGTTGCCATGGCTAAAAACCGTATTTGCTGAGTACTTGGTAAATAGTTGCACAACTTCCTGTGTAAATGCCAGAGACCACATTAGAGTTTCTACTGGGCAGTTTAAGCACAAGCCTTTCTTCCCCCCAATTTCTCTAATTGTATTGATTTTGTTTCTATATGTAACCAGCATTTCCCCTTTTAAAAATCTCTCCTGCTTGTCTCAAGTTTCATGCCCTTCCAAGTGAGACAAGAAGGAAGTTTGCCATTTACTCAGACGTGAAGCTTGATCAAATAGCAAAAAGGGTATAGCAAAAAAGTAAACTCAAAGGAGGTGCTGTACTAAGGAGGACACGGTTTCTATCAGTTTATGATGTCGGGCACGGGAAGGCAAGTACTGGTCCATGGGCCGAATCCCGTCCACCACGGTTAACCTCTGGGTCCCCACACTGCTGTATTTACTTGCACCTCTGCAGGTACAGGGGATCACTGCTCCTATTGGCTGTTGACCATTGTTCCTAGCCAATGGGAGCTGAAATCCCTTGTACCTACAGAGGTGCAGGTAAGTATAGTGACAGCGGCCCACCAGGGGCTGATCCTGGTGAACTGCCACCATTTTATTGTCTATTCTTGATGTAGGGTCATTTAGGCATGGATCAGAACAAGGAGGCGTTCAGACCTGCCCTGCCACACGGAAAGCACAAAGCTGAAGAACCTTTCCCAAAAGTCCTAGAGAACGCCTCTCTGTGGTATTTATTCTACCTTGCATGTCTGGCCAGTACAAGATGGGGAGAGGTTATGCCTCTGCCTCTCACCCCTTCCCTATGCCCATTTGGGTTCTATGCACAGGGACCATTGTTCTGTCTGGCTCTGCAAAGGGCTGCCCAATGGGAGAGGAATATTTACACCCTGCCCGCATGCTGCACATCCCAGGAAGGCTTAGGCAAAATGTAGCCTCTAGCATTTAGTCCTCATCATCTGACACATTCAAATCCAGCCTTTCTTTTTAATAACAAAAATCATCGGTAATGATTTCACCTTCTCCCAATCCAACCAAAATGTGCTTTCATTTCCACTCATGTCTTATTTGCATTCTGTCCTCTAGATGTAAAGGACACCTAAGGGGTCAGGGAGTACAGGCTTTCTATTTTTCACATCACTGCACTAACAGAACGACAGAATTCTATGTCATTAACGTTATAAGAAAAAAAAAAGTCTTTCCTATTCATCCCATTTCCAAGAGCATTAGTCTTTTTCTTTCAGAGATACTAAGCGAGCTCTGCATTGAAACAACATGTTACAGACCCATATTCTGGTGCATTATGTGCGAACATACGTCCCAATAATATGTTCTTCACTGTACGATTAGAAATTGTGCATAGAAAAGGTGAAAGCAAGCTATAAAGGTATATACAACAGAACCATTTCATACATGTGCGACTGATTCTTAACATGAAAGTGATCACTGGTTCCACTGTAGTACTGGATATTTTCTTGTCTGCCACAACAGCTACTTTCATTAAAACAGTATGGGTACGTCTAGACTACAGGGTTTTGTCAACAGAAGTTTTGTTGACAGATACTGTCGACAAAACTTCTGTCGACAAAGAGCGTCTAGACTACATCCAGTTCTGTCGACAAAGCAAGCCACTTTGTCGACATAGCAGTGTGGACGCAAAGGACAGTGTAGATGCAATAATGCCTTCTATCGACAGAACTCTGTCAACAAAAGGCGCTATTCCTCGTAGAATGAGGTTTACATACGTCAACAAAACTGCTGAGTTTTGTTGATGTTATGTCGACATAACTCAAAGGCAGTGTGGACGCAGGTATAGTTTTGTCAACAAAAGTCCACTTTTGTCAACAAAACCCTGTAGTCTAGACACACCCTATCATATATAATAAATCAACAAAATGCAATTAAATGTATAGGAAAAAATAAATATATTACCAGCACCTTGTGGCATGTTTGGGTGCTGAACATCTGAACATCTTTGGGTGCTCTGTTAAGAAATAAAAGATATATTTTTATGTTGGGGGAGGCAAGCTACCGGAAGAGAACTCTCTGCATCTTTCTCTCTGGTACTTAATGTTATAAGTGTACCTGGACTGGGATCAGATTGTCCTGTTCACAGTGGCTTTTAAAGCCAGCCTTTTCGTACATTGGTTACTATCTTGTGCTCTAGAGTCTACGCTTTCATTAAAAAAAATTGTAGCTGCTATGGTTGTGTATGGAAGTATGGACAGAATTTTAAAAATTTCAGAGGGGTTCTGCTGTCTGGCACAATAGCTCTGGAAGGCATTAACTGTGCTTATTCATCTGAGTGTTTACTTTGATGCTTAATTACTACAATTAAATGTTAAGAAGAGGAACAATTATATTATAAAAATCTGCATAATCTATTGTGATTAAAATTTCATTTTAGTAGCACAAGTAGGTGGAGTTTTAGATTAGCATTTGGTTGGCAAGAGTGGTCTGGGAGAACATCACTATTGCTGTTTATCAATTCCACTCCATTACATGGAGCCCATCTCTAGCATGGTTGGAGGTACAACATAGGCTGACAGGCATTTTGAATAAGGCAACGAATACTGTAGTAAGTAGCTTCTGCCTCACTTTACTCCAGAGTGTTATTGTTGTGAGGTAACTCAGGTTCAGAGAGGCCAATTGATTGTCCCCAAAATCATACAACAAACCAATAGTCCAGTAATGACACATGAAGTCAGCTGAGAACATGGCCTCATTATGCTAGGAAATATGAATATAGAGAAGAGAAGAGAAGACAGTGCCTGCCTTTGAGAATTTACTGGGATCCAAACAAATTGAGACACAGAACAACAAGCCACTTATCAAAAGCTCTAGCAATTAACTGTAGTTATATATATCTGCCTTGGAAAGAAAATATCATGTGACCTACATGCCCAGTAAAAATAGTTTAAATTTTGAATATCAAATACATTAAGCAATTATTCACAATGAATAGCTTACCAATAATTCGTAGTCTGGAACATGTTTGCATTACTTGTCAAATAATTTTGAGCAGTGGACTAATTCATTGTGAGTTGTTTGAGGACAATTCACAAACAGGGAAAAGGGCTAAATTTAACCAATAAATTTTTTGCTGTGAATAGCTCACCCAGAATTAGTGCCTGAGAGTAAGGTATTGCATAGCTGTCAAATCAGATTCAAATGTACCTGCAATGCTATTGCATGACTTATTAATGGAAATTACTGACTTCATAAATACTGAATCTTGAAATTGAGGTTACAGAAAACTTTGTATTTGTTGAACAAACGAATGCCACATCAAATCCCTTTCTCTAATATTTTCTTGGTGTCCTATGCAAACTCACAACTCCCCAAAAAGAGCTTTCAAGGTTTGCAACTGTGCATCCCATAGTTAGTACTGAGATTTCATTCACTGCATTGTGGTCCACAACATCAGGGCCACTTTGACCCTTTCCATGGCATAGTATTTGTAGCTGGCTGGTGGCTTCTCTGAAGAGGTGTGACTTAGCATTCTACTTACAAAGGGCGAGATGTCTTATTAGAAAAGATGACTCACAGCTGCAGGAAGTGGTAGCTAGCACACCATAGAGCTGTTCAGTCCAGTTAGCTGGGCTAAAAGATTCTGTATAGATTGAGCTGGGAAAAAATAATTAAACCATCCCTCATATTTCTAGCAACCCATTCACTCAGCCCAGGGCAGAGACGAGAGGTTAGGGAGAGAAAGAAAACATAGACATGAGAGTGTGAAAGAGAGAGAAAAGATGGGACCCTATATTAGTGGTGTGTGAACGCTACCCCCCCCCTCACAAATCCAAGAGTTAAGAACTTTAACTAACAATAGGACTAAAGAGAGAATTGAGAAAATTCTTAATGTCACTCAACAAGAAGGCCAGCAGTGAAATCCTGGCTCTGTTGAAATTAAGGGGAATTTTGCCTGTGGTTTCAATAGGATGGAGGATTTCACCCCATTTTTTTTTTTAGAAACAATATCCAGAATTCCAGGTCTCATCCTAAATTCTTTGCTCTGGCATTAGAAATCTAATGACATGAGACTTCATGGAATTTGATGTACCATGTTTTCAGCAATCCCAAATATATATTCTCTCCTCCCCATGGTATTTATGCATTTCTATTTGAAGTGCTGAGTGAATTCAGGAATAGCTAATGCCTGTGGATGACAGGCAGGAAAAGTTAGCCAAGCCTTCTAAAAGGTTTACTTGAAAAGCTGGGGTATGTTTGAAAACCTCCACTTACTTTCTGCAGCTTGCCCATCTCTTTTTTGTAGACAGTAAAAGGAAGAGGAATTCCAATATCTTTTGCTTCTGAGAACTGTACACACATCTTCAGGACTTCCCCCCCCTTCACATGCCCCCCCCTTTTTTCCCTTGGCTCTCCAAATGTATAAGTGTCATTAAGACAAATGGCAAACATTTCTCCTTTTCCTACACCTGTCAAAGCTTCAGAATCTACTTTCATGACATTTCACACAGAAAAAGAAATCTATATATTTTTTAACATACCTTCCGAAGGATGCAGAATCTTAATTAGTTTGGCGTTTCTGATTTTCAATCTGCAGTGTGCTAGCACCCTGCATAATAAATTAACAAAAAAGGAAGAGGGGGAGCAAATGATATAAAGAGATACAGGGGAAAACAGAAAATGAGGCTGGTGCCCACGAAGGATTTGAAGACTCTCTTTGAATGTGGAATCAATCCTTACAAAGAGCATATTTTCCAGAGCACCTAGGCAGGGCACTTTCTAGCCTCCTCCCCACAGGCAATGAGTATGAGCTTCTTGATGGTAAATAAAATAGAATCAGCAAAGGAAAACGCCTGCTGGCTTATGAGCAGCTGAATGTTTCCAGTGTTAGTGGAATGTCAAACACCCAAGGAAAGCTTAAGTTTATGTCTATTTTTATAAATTGAATTTTTATTCTTCTCTTGCCATCCCAGGTCGTGGTCTATAAAATATGAACAGAGCACTTATTTTATTGCTTGCAAATATACCTTCCCCAGACACAATGGTTTCTAATTGGAGAATGAGAACACTATTGTTTCTTTTTAAAAACGTAAGGTAAATGCACCAAAAATTGTTTGAGTGACGCCTTTATGGAGATAAAAAAGTGGACAGCTCTTTCTTTTATCTCAAAGCTGGAAAGTTGTCACTCTGGTTGGTCAGTTCTGCCTTGTCAGTCATTATAATACAAATAGCAGCCGCAGACTCTTAATCCTCTGTGCAAGGAGATGATCAGTTTATATGGCTTGGCTGGCATGTAATCAATTAGAAGACAAACTGTGGTTAACAAGACCTCATTTAGCTTGTTAGAGGCAGTCCATGAGACAAGGACCAGGTGACCCTTAAGAATGAACCTGAATTGGAAACAGCTTCTAGTTGTGGATATCTGAAAGTTTCTACAAAAAGTGACATAGGCCCATATCATGTGCCAGCCCCAGTGCATGTCGATTGACCCTTTTCTCCCTACAGAAAGAATGGCACCGCCCCAGTCTCCACTCATTATTCTGCTCACAGTTCTCCATGTGGTCTAGGGCCCATGTGGAGGGAAGGGTTGGAGTCAGGATGGGAAGAGATAGGCAGGACTGGACCTGGGGTGCGAAGAGGCACATCTCTCCTCTCTGGCCAGAAGTATTTACTCAAAAATGTTAAGCTCTGGAGATTCAGAGCTTGTGAATGGGTGGCATTGTCTTCTTGTGGATTCCAGGAGATTAGTCTGGATGGGGTGATATATCCCATCCTTTAAATGAAAAATGAGGGAGACTCCCTATTAATTAATCCTTGTGGAGATCCTCATTTAAAACATCAACTCCCATTTTTCCATCACCAGAGAGAATAATCCGGGCCAATGTTCCCTCTAATTTTTTCCACCCTTCTGCAGAATAAATTTTGTGATGTGCACCGTGGCTTATGAGGATGAGTGTTCACAGTGCCAAATCGGCAGCAGGTGTTTCTCCTAGCGGTGCACATGTCTACCTGCCTCGGTGCCCATAACAAAATTTCTTCGGCACAGGAATGGGAAATATTAGAAGGACCATTGGCCAAGATTATCCTCTATGGCCATTAGAGAGAGCGTCTGGAGAGAAAGCATCTCACCACACATACACAAAAAGGGAGAAATCATATTCTGTTATACTCGTTTTCTGTCCAGGAAAACAGAGCTCTGACTTGCCTCTAAAAAGTGGCAGCTGGAAATAGGCTAGTTGTGAACAAAATGTTAAATAGAGAAAGGAAGAAAACGCAGCCTCAAAATGTCAAAGTAATGAAAAAAGGAAAATCATTAAGGAAGCAGCTGTTAAATATGAGATCAATCAGAAGGGCTTGGACAAAGTGGATGTCAATAGAGCGCCGGCAAATGCTAATGTAGGCATGTGAGTTACGGAGACTGCTGCCAGTGAAGGTTTTCTGCTGGACCTGTGTGAATAGCTGTATAATCGGGAAGGCAGAGATGGCTAGAAACAGGAATTCCCATTCTGTGGGAAACTCTGAAATTAAAATTAAAAAAAATCCATTCCAAAGCTGAATGAAAAAAGAATGAAAATTTCACACGGAACAAAAACAAAACAAAAAAGTAAAAGTGACTTTTGCTTTGACCCCTTTTAAAGCATTACCATGGTTCCCTGAACTGCCCATTGCCCCAGCAGCCAGCCAGGCAGGAGTGCCGGCAGCTCAGGGGGAGAGCCTAGACTCTCAGGGCAAAGGTATTGGGATCTGAGGGGTTGCAGCTCAGGACAGTCCACTAGTGGAGGTCAATTAAAAACTCACAGCTGGCCTGTGCCAGCTGATTAGGCCCCCGGGAGGTGGGAGGTTCCCAGTGCTCAAGCTGCATCATGAGCCTCAAGGACTACACCACAATCAAATAGCCCCTGAGCCCGAATCATCTGGTGCAAGCCCATTGCAGTGTCCAATTGCAATAGCTCTGATGTGGTGTTTAGCCTGGATCCCTAACCTGGTAAGTTGCCTGAGAGTTGAACTACTTGG